TGGAAGCTTTCACGGTATAAAGTGCCACTATTCTCCGTTACAGTTATTCCCCAGCTGCAATGGCAGTGAAGAGACACCAAGGCTGCATCTTGTCCACACTTCACCTTACTTGCAGATTCAAGGACTTTGTGGGTGCGTTCACGAGAAGTCTGGGAGTGCTGAGGGCTGTCCAAATCCACAACTCAACCAGTCCACAAGAGTCCTCAAGCAGACTTTCAGCAAACTTTCAGAGAGTCTGCTTGGGGTGCAGACTTTAGCAGATCTGACTGATTTTATAACCCACAATTCATTGCAAAACAGACGTGAAAAAAGTTGTGAATGTGTAAAATAGTTTTTGATAGTTAGGCCTATTAAAATACTACTTGAGTTGTGTAGGACAGAAATAACATTCAACCACATCATGATACAGAGATATGTATAAGCACAGGCTGTAGACGGACTGAAAATGCATTTTATTATTGCAGCCTATCAGACTGTGCAGCATAATAGGCTAAAATAAAGGCCAAAAAACAGCGAAATAAGGTCTTCTAATGTCAGTAATTTCTGTTTTTGAATGTGTAGCCTATTATATAGATATATATATGGATACATTTTTGTTCAGTCACAAGAGCGGCTATACATTGTATTTATATCTTATCTTATATCTATTCATCAACTTATATGACATATATGCCAGCAGTGATAGTTAAACGTTTCCACGGCAACTAGTAAAACAGTCTTGAGGGCTGTCTATCAGCTACTTCCAGTGTCTGTCCACGCAGACTTTATGTGATGACGGTAAATACGTCACACTACGTACAGCTGAAGTATGCGAGGAAATTTGATTCAGCCCAAGATGCAGAAGACCTGGAAATGCTGACCAATCAGAGCAGGCTGGGCTTTTTTGGGAAGGGTACTTAAAGAGACAGGCGCTAAAACAGAGCCTCTCAGACAGAGGGTGAATACAGGTGTTCTAGCACAGACACTATGAGTGAAATAAGGTGTTGTTTGAACATTAAAGCATGTATGTATACTGGGTTTCTACAAGAACAAGCATGAACCTGAAAATGAGCACATTAGGTCATCTTTAAATCAGTGCTATGGCCTATTCAGCATTATCAGCGCATTATTAATGCAACATGCAGAAGACATCTTTGGAGTTAAATATTTAAGCAACATTTTAGAAGACAGAAACACAACACTGTGAGATTTAGTTGCATATAAAGTGGGTGAATGAAATCAGACTTATGAAACATTCACTTTAATGGCTGCTGCGACCAGGGGTGCCGCCAGGGGTTTTGGGCCCCATGAAAAGAATTTTTACTGGGCCCTATACACAGCTGGCCAGGAGGCCGCCAAAAATTTTTGATGCTATTTTACATAAAACTATGCATTTTGATGGTATTTTTGACTATCATTCCCACATTTGTGAAAAAGAACAATCTCTTCCTCCACTTCCACATTCCTCCCTGACAAACTTGAAGAGGATTCTGACCTGGCTCTGTAGAGTGTACGTTATAGGGCTGACCCAAAAAATTCGAAGCTTCGAAGCTTCGAAGGTTCATTCGATGGCACGGGATTCGATTGTGGAAAAAAAAAATCGAATATTCGGCCTTTTTTTTCTCCCGTTTTTGGGGGGACTTTGAACGCGACACCATCTCCGAAAAGGAAATAGAAAGCCTGACGTGCAATGAATGGAGACCTATTATCCTGCTTGAACACAGACGACTAAATTCTTTCAACAATGTGACTCAAAATGATAAAATAGATTTTACTGATGTAAAATAATATGCTGATGGTGACGTTTTCCACCCGTCCGCTGCGCTCTGAGTCTGGTGTCAGTGGCACATGCTGCTCTGAGTCGCGCATCTGTCTGCTTGCGCTGCAGTGTGCGGAGCACAGAGAAGCAGTCAGAGCTACAGGCTACAGTGAGGCTAAAAACAAAGTTCATATGACGTTTTTCGAAACAACTTTTTATGTCGGGGCTGCAGCACACTTGGATCACTACGGATGAGCAGTATGGAGATACTTTGTGGATTCAATTTTGTGTTCTTGGACGTTAGTCTGGGGCTCCGTCTACCATTAGGTGCGCTAGCCGCTCCACTCGCCGATCTCCGCAAGGGATGTGAGGACTCTAAAACTTCACCAGGGGTGAGTATGGGTGAGTAGATAATGGCTGAATTTTCATTTTTGGGTGCACTATCCCTTTAATCATGGGCCCCTAGAATCCTTCTCCTTTCCCCCCACTTTTCGGTGCCCAAGGCTGTGACTGCACACTGCCAACACCTTCCTTCCCTTCCACCACCTCTCATTCAAACATGATTATCAACACCTTAAGTTGAGATGTTGGTGGCTGTGTTGTTAAACGAAACAAAAGAAAGCAGTCAACAATATTAACAGTATCTTCCTATCAATGAAGTCTGAAATAGCTTGTACTTATCCTAACTGTCCATGTGCGACATCATTCCTGACTGTGCCTCATAAAACGGGTCTAACAGGCAGGATATGTAGTGCATGTATTAAGGATAACGTTCAAAGGTGTGAAATTGGATTTGGCACTGACAGAGCAAGGAGATAGTGAGAGCAACAGTAAAAAGCCAAGACTGGCCCCCACATACATTATATTACATCTGTATAGCACACATTATGTACAAAGCCAAACATTGATCTGGGCCAGCACTGACATAAAACAGTGGATTAGATATCACATAAGATAAAGACTAATCCTGCAGTGAAAATCAATCGTATCCTGAATCCGATTTAAAATTGCACTTACTTCCAAGCAGCAGACATCCATTCTGTTGTAACAGCTGTCATCTTATTAAAGAGAAGACTAATAAATGTGTTGATAAATTCACAGTATCAACAGATGCAGTGGCAAAAAGTTACGTAGAAGTTTGAGCTGCCACCAGCAGTAAAAAAAGGGTGCATTATTATCTGCCCATAAAACTGTGTGACATTCATTAGAATATCACAGACATTAAGACAGATTGTTCAGCAGGATTAAAACGCCCCTTGTTTTTGTGTTGCTTCTTGTACCCAACAGATTTCTCAGCCAGTGCCCCCCTCCCTCCTCTCTTTTATCCTTTTCAGTGAGCTTGTCATCCATTAAAAGCCAACACCATCCCACAACAAAGCCAGCTTAGCTGCCATTCTACGCGAACAATTATTTATATGCCTTTATCATTTAATTGCAGGAATTATCCAGACACTAGATTTGATTATTAATGTCTTCAGATACAGAATTCTTCCTCTCTTCCACTCTTTCTCTCCCACACCCACTCTCTTCCATTCAACTGTAATGACGGTGAGGAGAATTGGCAGACATTAATGTGTATTCAGCCCATATCGAATCAGTTTCTCACCACCCTTAGGGCTTAATAGGAAACAATAACTGAATTATGACATGAATGCCGGCCAATTGCTCACAATTCTGGCTTGAGACATACACAATGACATACCGGTGATATAGCAACTCACTCCATTTTTGTTAATGTTGTGTGGGTTTTCACTCAGCAGAGGAAAAAAGAAATAAATAATGACTGACTGTCCCCAAATAAAAGCCCCTTTCTTTACACCACTAAATCGCTGTCTTGTTTAACCTTGGTGTAAGTGTGGCAGAGTTAGGAGACAGATATAAATGTTCTCTGTAAGTGTTGGTTAACATCTCTTTTTCTCTCCGCTTGTTTATCCCTCTTCCTCTTTCAAACCAATAATGATCCATCTCAGTGCACAGTTTCCACCATGATACATTAAATCCATTACTTAGAAGCACACCTGCAATGAAATGAAGGACAACTGTGCTGTGCAGGCTAATGCAATGCTCAGCCAAGCACGCACACAGGCAGGGCAGGCACAGGACTTGGCCTATATATCATACTGCAGGATTTAGCAAGATTTAGCACTTAAAGACGAAGACGCTGTTTCCAAATCCTGGGGATCCTTTTAAAGAGATGCATAAGGTTTTTAAGGCAAGATATTAATGTGGAGGTTTGATGCTATGCTAGTATATTCCTACTGCTGGCTAGCTAACGTCGGTTCCACCTGTTTTCTTTTTCACATTAATTAACACATTACCTAGGTTTCTCTTCCTGACAGACTTTTTTTTGCATGTGGTGCTGCGAGTGATATTGACATAACCAAGCTTCAACGCTGCTGTGAAAGTGACTTCAAAACTGCTGAGAAGAGTGAAGAAAAAAAAAAGTGAGACAGGCGGCTGCAGAAAGAAATAAAAAGTAACTTGACTTTGTTGAAATATCAAAACAGCTCACTCTGTTTGCTCTTTGTTATGGCTGTGAACAGCTATCAAATAAAACAGCTCCATTCTTTGCTGTGGATTTTCAGGAGGAAGATTGGAGAAAGCTTTGCACAATAATCAATAGACATTTTTGCTGTTTTTGGAAAAGCAATGTTGCAGATTTCCCAGTTCTTTCTACTTCCTGTCTCATGTCTTATAACATCAAAATACAGTAGTAAGACCTCTAATTGCATCATGGTGCGAAGCATGTGTGCATATATGTAACAGTTTCAAGTGCTGGTCCTCACATTAGAGATTACACTTGTGCCCAGTTTCGGGGCGTTAGAGGCTTAAGAGTTCAGAAAGTCCGTTTAAAGATAGAGCATAAATTGTACCAGGCTTGAGAACAATGCCCCCGGACTAACGTGAAGTATTATCTCATAGGCAGCAAAAACCTCCTGACACTAACCTTTATTAAGAGCATGCTCAACAAAAGAAAGCCAGTTCAGCATTTTCTTTTCTCCACCAAACCCACTATCATTTTGCTGAACTCGTCCTTTCAACAGCGATTTACTTCCTGTCAGCTGTTCGACATTTATTCACTGCTCAAGGTCATTATTTGTGTTGGGAAGTCTGTCAGACCGAACAGACAAATCTTACTTCATGGAAATGTGTAAAAGGAGACAGAGGTTTTCCAAAAAGATTATTTTTTTTTCTATTTTGTGAGGATTTAAGTGTTTCAAGGTTCGACAAAGGGAGAGAGAGAAGGAGTGGTCCAACTTACTGTGTTGGCAGTGAACTCCACTGAAGCCTGGTGGACACTTGCAGACGTAACCAATAAAGGTGTCGCCCCTGTAGGTCTCACTGATCTCACATGTTCCTCTGTTGTGGCAAGGGTTTGGATGGCAAGGGCCTGTGTGGGTAGAAACAGAGGAAAACACTGTAAAGAAAAGACTTTTCCATCAAAATTTGTGCGTATGTTTTTTTCCCCCACTAAAATACTCTCTAAAAACAGGCAATAGTCTTCCTTTCACATTGCAATTAAGCTAGGGCTGTGCAATATAACGACAACGTACAATATATCAAGATATATATATTTCTTTCACTCTCCGCACAGCTCCGCCCCACTCATTCAAGCTCTCCAGCAACACTCAGACACAGAGCTGCTGCTCTGTTTAACCTGGTGTGACATCGGTCTATACATTGCACATGCTAGGCTAAATCAGTCTGTGTGATGAATGAAATTGCCACAGTATCACACATGCAATCCTGCGCTTCGGTGCTAGTATATGTGTGAAGTGGATCACAGCGCATTGCCGTTCCTCTCGGTAGTTGTAGTCTATTTTGTGACATGAAGACTGCGCCTGAAGGCAGGCGACAGACCTGTTTAAAAAATTATGCAGCAACATAGACGTTTCATATATAGTACAAGACGTATGTAACACGAACAAAGTGTCTCTCGCTCCTTTTATCTCTTGGCCTCTCTGCTGGTGCCATGTGCATACATAAGATTAATAGCTTAAATAAATAAAAAGCTTTACACTAGATCAATTTACAGGTCATGGAAAACAGTGTCTTAACTCCCACACAAAGATTTTTAGTTGTTCTAAACTGCAATGGATTTAGGCCTACTTGATACCTTTATACTCATGTTATAGTTTTGTGCCCTGTGCTGCAAACCTTTAAACCTGTGTAGCTCCAGTGCTGTGTGCAAAAAGTTAATGTTAACTGCTATTTATTTTAGATCATTTTTCATTACATGTTGTGCAGCTGTATATTTTCAAACAGAATGTCTTTGCATTTCATTTTGATCACAGTTTGTTCTGTTTTTTATAAAAGTGCTTGTGACATCTCAAATGTGGCTTTGACTTGCAACTGAAAACATGTAGCCGATTTCATAGAAAATACTGAGATATATATCATGTACCGCTAGTCAGCCTGTAAATACCAAGATATGAATCTTTGTCTATATCACCCAGCCCTAGCTCTGCAGTAGTACAGTATGTCTTTCTGTTTTTATTTTCTTGTGTGTCACGTTGGAAGTCATGGACCCACTGGAAACCAGATTAGTAAACAGCAGAAAGCAGCATGACTGCTGGTGAAATGTTACAGTGGTTACTTTTTATTACGTGACTTATTCAGTCTCTTGTTTAAACTCAGTGCTTACTAGGTTAAACAATTTTCGAATGCTGTGGCTCCGTGTCATTGCATCATGCCACAAAAGGGCCAAAAATAGGCAGGTCCACCTGGGTGTCTAATTTCCATCACTGCCCATCCGAGCTGATCGCAGCCGGAGCTGATACATACCTGCGACTTCTGCAGAGTCATTTGACCCGGGATGCCGATTGCAACCTTTCCCATTAAACACAAAAGCCAGATTTTAATGGGTGTTTTTCGTCCAGTGGGAAAAGAGCTTAAGAAGTCTGTTTTGTGCCAATATTAAAGCACTGTGTTAAGGCTGTGAGCCACTGATAATGAGCTACATCTTTTACTTTCTCATTTACTGTGTATACAAGTACACAATGTTCCAGGTAATTGAGTTACTCTGGTATAGCACAGAGTTTTCAGTAAATAAAATGAACATTGCCATGCCAACAGTGACTAAAAGAAAAAAAAAACAGCTTTACACAACCCTATATCGGCAGTGATTTAAAACAAATTCAACAAATCAAAAGTGTATATTGCCTTTGAATTTGAACACATTTACAGTGCAGAGGTTTGAATTATTAAATGACACTGAGTTGGACCTTGTGAGTCAGTGTATAAGTAAAACAGTTTGACAGGCAAAACTGAGGATGACAGGAGAGCCAGGAGAGGCTGGCTTTCAGTGACTGCTGCTGGTCTCTGTGGTTTGGAGGGCAGCCCAAGGCACAGTCTAAAAATCATTGAATATGTCCCCTCCAGGAAGGCAACACTTCATCCTTACAGCACTAAGTGGAGAGCACAGACTAGCTGGAGCACTATGCACCTGTATGCACAGAAAACCATGCATGCCAACAGACACTGGCACACACAGACTGACACACTCACACACACACGAGAGTGCGGGGGAGTGAACTGCTCAACCAGATTCTGGTCTGCTGAGTGGAATAACTTGAAAATGATACCAACAACGCTAAAAGAGAAAATAGGCAATTAGTGGGTTATTTGTTACAATAGAAACTCTTGTTTCCTTTGTAATAAACACAACAAAATATGTACTATTATGCACAATTTAAACGTTAAACAGGCCAGCTTAGTTATGGTCTTTGCATCCTCCAATTTATATGACCAATTATCAATAGCGTACTATTCCACAGAGCAAAACAGTGTTTGCTTGAGTGACTGCATAGACTTTTCCTGCTCCGTTGGGTGTGAGGCACAGGCTTGCTGGATAATTAATAACTGACCTTCTGTCAGTGGTGCTGCTATTTATTCTTTAAATAATAGAAGGTGCAGTATAGCAGCCAGTACTGCAACAGTGCAGAGAGCTGTCAGACCAATCTTTGATCGAGCTAACTCAGCATCAGTCTAAATAAATACAAATTCAAAAACTAATTTTTGTTTCAAATATAGATCAATCAATCAATGTAAGATCGTTATACTTGTGTGGTGGTGTGTCTGTGCCACTCTGCAGTTACGCCTCCAAAACACTAGTCAGCAGAGGGGTTTCTGTGATGTTCTGTAAAGCTTAGTTGATCCAGAACACATCCAAAACACACATTAAACATGGCTTAATAGAGACAATTTCAAACACAAGTTCACAAATTGGCTTCACTATAACTCGCAGCATTCACAGACAAAGCATTTGTCTTTTCCTGGACACATTTTCCCCACAAATCCAACATGCTAATGTTTTTAGCACAAGCCTATGGCATTTTACATTGTATAAATTAGCCTAGCTGCTAGCGGACTTTTTTTCTACTCCTATGAAGCCAGAGACAACAAGGTAACATCATTACAACTCACAAGGTTCACCGACAAAACAACTGTCTTATACTGAACACGTTTTCCAAAGAAATATAACAAGCTAACGTTATTAGCACAAGCCTATGGCATTTTACATTGTACAAATTAGCCTAGCGACCAGCAGAGATTTCCTCTACTCATATGAAGCCAGGATAAATCACACACAAGACTTAAAATTCTATTTTTGTGGGGGCTTTATTGTCTTCTCAATTTATTGTTTCTTATCTGTGAAATTAAAGTAAATAAAAGCTTAGTTTTCACAGAGGGAAATGGTTTTCAGCTTACAAAAATAGGCAGGATGTCTGCTTCGCCGCAATGTGTAATTACATTTCTGGGAGTTGCACGTCAGGCTAAAGCTTAGGGTACGGTGTAGGGTGCAGTGTCAATTCGACGCACAAGTATGACTCTTGCATTATTCTCAAGGTAAACCTCCGCATATAACACATATGTTGAGACTGTGGCTGTGTTCAGAATCACATACCTTCATATTTTTCATACTAAATATGACCTAAAATAAAGTATGTTGCACGTTCACTGCATAGTACATGAGAAATGCCCACATATGCACTTCATTAGTAAGAACAGCATGAGTATAACAGGTGAGCCGACTGCTTAACTACCCCACAATGCACTGAGTCTCTTCAGACTGTGCAACAACAAGATTTTGATCCCCTTAAAAGCTTTTCAAAAGTAAAATACTTTTCAGGTGAGAAAGTAACAATCAATATTTTCCAGTGCGTCTTCAGTTTATCCAAATTATGTCTGTTTATTTTGAAAACATCCGTCAGTCATTTGATTCAGTCATGTGAGCTTGAGTATACTTCAGTGTGAACAGTTTATTGGTAATGATGTACTTAATTTTTCATTTAGCAGGCAGCATGCAGTACACACAGACTGAGGCAGTGCATTAGTATGCAATTCCCAACACAGCCTGTATTTATTAGCAGCTAACTGATGTGTAACTGAACTCTACAAAATGCAGACATGAGCGCTAAGAGTTAGAAGTACACATGTTCAGCGCAAGTTCCTTAATGATATATGATTTTGAAATCATTACTGGGAGAACCTCTCAGGAAGATTTTGTCAATTAATGAGAGGGTTCATTCATTCATTCATTCATTCATTCATTCATTCATCTTCTAACCGCTTCATCCTCTTGAGGGTCGCGGGGGTCTGGAGCCTATCCCAGCTGACATCGGGCGAGAGGCAGGGTACACCCTGGACAGGTCGCCAGACTATCGCAGGGCTGACACATAGAGACAGACAACCATTCACGCTCACATTCACGCCTACGGACAATTTAGAGTTATCAATTAACCTAGTCCCCAATCTGCATGTCTTTGGACTGTGGGAGGAAGCCGGAGTGCCCAGAGAGAACCCACGCTGACACGGGGAGAACATGCAAACTCTGCACAGAAGGGCTCCCACACCCGGGATCGAACCGGCAACCCTCTTGCTGTGAGGCGACAGTGCTAACCACCACACCACCGTGCTGCCCGAGAGGGTTCATAAAGTAGCAAAATTATTCAAAGTCTGAATATTGCAAGTAAAAGCTTGCTTTTTAAAATGGTATAGACTGCAAGAATTGCTTTTAGTCATGTATGAATGAATCAGTTTTTGTATTTGCATCAGTTTAGTTGCAGTTTTCTTGTGTGACAGCTTACAGGTCTAGATTGAGTTGGCATCTACATGTTAGGTTGCAGATAGTCTGAGTGGGCGGAAGTTTGATGCAGAGATCAGCCTCTCATTGGGCGGAATGAGCGACCCGCTGAAGTCCCGCCCTACCACCTCCGGTTGTGTAGCAGTTTTCAACCGTTTTCAACACGTCCTTTACTAACTTTTGCGGTGTTTGATCTTGCGGGGATGTAACCATTTTTCTGCCATGGTTTGCGTCCTGTAGGTGATATTTTTGTGGGCGTGTTACACCAAAACCTGTTTTCCCCCGGCAATATTTTTGCAAGTGCA